AACAGGAAGTAAATTAATCCACGTTTGGACTTGTTGATGTTGAGAACTAAGAGATTAAAGCAATTATATAGACTGACAGAGAAAGAAATTCTTAGAGAAAAAAAGAAAAAGGCTGCATCATCTGCGTGTGGGTGGAAACTGAATCCCTGAATGTAGATAAACTCATGTAGGTGGGTAGAGAGTGAGCCATTTAGGGAAGAACTTGGATGTAAATAGTTGTTTAGAGGAAAGATTTAGCATGCATTTTGCAGAACAGATCAGGTTAGAGCAATTTGTTTAAATTGTTCTCTCAGGGCAAATAGGAATAGGGTTTCTCAATTATATAGAAGACAAGTTTTGAACATTTATTGAGTTGATTAAATAAAGACAACATTTCAAATACTCACGTTGAAGCTCTGATGAGACATGTCATGCCTGCTCTATGTAGGCCTTGGAAGAAGTCCAGGGGCAACAGAAGGTGATCGAGAAGGCATAGTCTCTGACCACTGGCCTAGGCCTGTGCTTTTGTGTGGGTGCTACCAGGCACAGGACAGGACAGGGTCCAGATCTGTTGTTCACAGGGTCACCATGAACTTGACTCAACGGTGCCTAAAAGCAGCAGGAAATCAAAAGGAGGGTGAGTGGTAGCTTTTGTGGGGGCATGAAGAGAGAGGGATAAAAAATGATTAAAAAATGATTTCCATCATAAAAGGGGACTTTTGGAAGAAGTGCTACTTTATTTTTTTTTTTTTGTCAAATTGTTAAAAATCATTAAAAACCCTAATTTTACTTATTATCCATATTCATCTTAACTATTTCTGACCTTGACCATAATTCCTTCTCTTATTCTTCTTCATCCCCTGATCCATTGGCTGGACTTACCAGATGGAAGTTGGTTTGTAGGAAAGGATATATGGAGTAGCACCTTTTGCAGTCAGCTTCTAGCTTTCCTGAGGTCAGGAGGACCCTGACCCAGCCCACTCCTTAGACTAGGACTTTGACTCCACTTTCTAATTTCCTGGAGACCACACTTTCTCTCAATTCCAAGGCAATATCCTTGAAGCACAAACCTGGGAAGAGTCCTTTTCCCCTCGCCTTTTCTTGTGTACAGTTAGTATCTGGTGGATTTGGGATTGCAGTGCAGCTTCTTGCCCCTAGGCCACCAGAGCTCCTTGGGAAGGGTTGTCTTCTTATGCAGGAGACTGGAGCTGGATGCTGGATCACAGAGCCATCCATGGTCGTCATGTTCAGAACTGACAAAGGTCTAGGGAACAAGCCTGGTAGTATTTAGTGTCTCTGAGTCGCCTCAGAGCAGAGCCAATTGGAGTCTTTGGAACAAAGTCCTTTTGGGGGGACATCACTGTAACTGGGTTAACAAGCCTTTGACTCATGTATTTGTAGTTGCTGGGCTGGAACATCTTATGCCTGCTTTTAAATACACTGTGCACAATGTAACCACTTGGTTATTTCTTTGTGGTCTTTCAATGCACCACTGTCATGTAGGATTTGATCTTAGGAATTTATAGAAAGATGCCCAGGTTTATAATGTGTAAACTCTTTATTATAAAGTAGCCATGGCAACATTTAGAAGCAGAGGATCAGAATTAACAATTAAAATGATAATGATTGTTAAATGGCCAGAGTCCAATTGTTTTGATTTTTAGACTTTTACCAGAAGTCTCCATCAGAAAGCTTTACCATGGGTCAATCTCTGTGGAAATCATTTGTAGCTAGAGCCCAAGGTCAACAGCAGTTGTTACAGCCTCAGTAAGCTCTGCATCTTCAAAGAGAATATGAGATTAGAGAAATATGTCTTTGCTTCTGCCCAGCAACCAGGTAAGCAGGAATTTGTACGTGAAATTCTTATTTTGATTTCACACAAACAAGACCATTGTGACGTGAATGCCTAGTACCTTATGCTATTCCTCTAAGGTTAGAGATTATCCAAACATCACCTTTTTTCTCCTCCTATTAGGTTCGTGATTAGGGAGATTGTTTGCTTAGCTCTATATCTCAAGAATAGGTTACAAAGACAGTATCTACAAACAAAGCACAATGCATATGGTATTTACTTGCAAACGAATAAAAATAATTTTAAAAAGAATACGCTACACAGATTAATTATGTTAAATCTTCTTTATCACACCAAGTCAAAATAAACAAAGATTTTTATTTTTTTTTTATCCCTTACACATGTCACATGCATCTTTACTTCTATGCCTAAGTTTAGAACTTTTCCACATAATTTTTTCATGGCTTACAAGTTTCTAAATGCTTATAGTTAATGCTGCAGAACCATACCAAGTTAGACATATTTCTAAGTTTACATCACAAGGGCGTATCCATATGTTCTTAGAAAGTGTAATGACATATCTTATGGGATTAGATAACTATAGAAACACATAGAAAACCATGGAATTCGGGACAACAGGAACTTGAAATAATTTGAAGTCTGGACAAGACTGACAGTATCACATTCAAACAGGATAATTGACAAGGACAGTTGAATAATGACACTCTTTACAAAGGTTTGTGCAGGGAAAGAAGTAAAAAAAAAACACAGGCAGATATGACAGCACTTACTTAATTAGTTGTTGATTGCCATTCAACAATGCAAGCCATTTAACATATATATACACAAAATTGTAGGAACCGAATACTTATTTATACCTTTTGTATCACTCTGGAAACTCTGAACTTTGATAAATGTCGATGGTTGTAGAGGGGCTTCAGGCCTTTGGTTCATGGCGTCGCTATGAGTCGTGCTCGACTCAAAGGCAATCAACAACAACATATCACTTACCTTATTTAAACTATTCATTTAACAAACATTATCAGCATAACTGATTACTTTAAATATTGTTCTGGTTTATACTTATGTTTCTGTAAGACTTATTTAGACCAATTCTGGATCTTCTTGGAGAGGCACAAACCTTGGAAAACACAGGGGAAAATCTCCCAGTTTCCTCTCAGATATTCTGCTGAGTGTGTAGAGAGGACCCAGGATTTATCCATCTCTTTAGTATCCACTGATTCCCTCCTAGCCATGCTGGGAGCAGGCGCCTGTGCTTTTTTGCATGCATCCTAGGGAAGCCTTTCACCCCACACGCTGGTGCTAGCTTTCCCAGGGAAGCTGCCCAGGAGTGACCCCTTTCGCCATCTTTTTCTAGGTTTGCCTTTGTGACATGCTTCTGTGTAGATCTCGCTTCTCTGGGGTCTCTCCTGCCTCCTCTGTGGCTCACTGCTATTTTTTCTCTCCCTTTTCTGTCAAGCCTTTTTCTTCTCTGAAACCACATAAGACTGTGATCTCTGCCCTCTCCCCCAAATCTCATGCAGGATAATTGAAACTTCTCAAAGCTGCCTTCTAATTTCCTAAAAAAAAGATGAGTGAATTAAATATTAAGTGTCAGCTATAATTTCTAGGTTCCAGCTTTACATTTTATACACTTTTCCTAGGTTTCTGGTGCTGGGGATACCAAAGTCTTGGATCCCACTGAGGTTATTACATAGTGTGAGAAAACAGAACATGCACATGTAAAATGCCCATAAATGAGTCAATTTTATTGAATGGTAAGTGCTGTGAAAGAGAGAAAGTGCATAATATGGTAGAGAGGTGGTAGTGTGGCTGCTTCTGCGGGGTGAGCACCCGAATCATGAATGATTCAGATCTGTTGCCCTTGCATCACTATGAGCAATATTTGACTCCACAGCACACAACAACACCACAACGGCACAAGTATACAACTGAGACTTGTTAGTCACCAGTTTTCTCTTTGTGAGTTTGCTCATTTGTTAAAATTGATTTGTAACCTCAAAGTCTGTGATTCTGTGATGAATCACAAACCTGCAAAATGGAGAACTTTGAGTTGCTTAATGCACACATTTCCAGCTTATGTTTTTTTCCCCCCAGCTTATGTTGAGAGAAGGAACCCTCAGTTTGAGTCCTTAGTGTTTAAACAAACTATCATTTATGTTATCTACTTAGCAGCACCTTTGATATTTTTCTCTTTGATGGTGATTGAACTTTTTAAAAAGAACCTCCTAGGGAGCTCTGGTGGCCTCGTGGTAAAAAACTGCATTGCAATCCCAGAGGTGCGTGGTTCAAATACACCAGATGCTTTGCTGGAGAAGGAGGGACAATCTCCTATACCAGTCAGATCCAATTTGACAGTACACACACAAAAATAATAATTAAAAAAATTTTTTAAAAAGAACCCCCTAAATGCATAGCTGAATCCAATGTTTCTGAGCACAAGAAAGCTGTGATTTGTCTCACTGAGGAAAACATCTTACGTTAGCTGTGTCATGACTTTGATGTTCATGAAGTTAACAGTGTATATGAAATGTTTTAAGAGTACACATAAAACAAGATTGTGCATTGATCAGGTGATAAAAATACTACTTAAGGCCCACAATATACCAACCTTGTATTTTCTTCAGGATCAGTGGTTCTGTGTTGGATAATTCAATGTTGTGGTGACTTTATAGAACATAATTGTATGAATAATGACAATGAACTATGTACATATATTTGATAACTTTTTATTCTGAAATGTATACATGCAAAATATTTCAATAAAATAAAGTACTATTATGTACCCTGCACCCAGATTTTCCAATTATTATCATTTTACCACATTTGTTTGATCATATATCTGTCCATCTAACCACTTTATATTTTTGATACATTCCAAAATTACTTATAAAATATCACTACATAACACAAACAAGTAAGAAGGCTACTCACTGGAAGTAATGATTCCTTTACATTGTTTTGAATTAAAATCCATGTACAGTGAAATGCTTAATTCATTAACACAATTTTATGACTTTTGTGATTGTATAAAGTTTTAACAAGATACTATTTTCTTCATTCTAGAAATCTCTCTCTAATCCCTTCTCTGTTCATCTGAAAAAGTGGATAGATAAGGCCCTGTGTCTGCGAGCCCGCGAGAACACCCATAGCAGAGGCCTCTGGGGCAGGGGCAGTCCCCAGGCACTTACTGCTTGCTTAGGCAAGCCTAGGGGTCAGCCAGTTGCTGCAGCAATGAGATGGCCCCATAGAGGACAGAGAGCGGCCCCTTGACTTCTGCGTCCCACACGGACGCAGGGCTGTCTGGCTCCATGGGCAGGCCACACTCCTGCAGCAGGCCATAGGTTATGTCCACGCCCTCATCCCCGAGTGGAGTGAGAAGGTCAGGAGGGAGCGTAAAGGGACTGCTCTGAGTGTACATGAAGTGTGGCTCCAGGATGCTCCTCACCTGGAAGAAACAGATGCACAGGTTGGCCACTGAGTCAGGTAGCAAGAGCCAAGGGCTGAGGAGGGTAGCTGCTCGGGCAAGAGCTTTGGCGTTAATGGGGGCAGAAGCCACATGCATCCTGATCAGTGTGACCGTAATGTATTGGAAATCATTTCCTCTTGGTTCTTGGTTATGAAGTTGCCATAATATGATTTGCTTTGCAGAATAGTTGTTTGAAGTTGTATGTGTACACATATATCTAGACACTCTGGTGGCCTAATTACTGCTAACACATAGGCACGCAGTTCAAATCTATCATCTTTCTATGGCAGAAACATGGACATTCTCCTCCCACGTGATTAACTGCCCCTTAAAGCCTGCTATGAGGTCAGCTATGAGCTGGTTCTGACTTGTCAGTGCATAATAGCAACAAACAGGTCCTTGGAGAGGGACATCATGCCTGGGAGGGTGGAGGGACAGTGCAGGAGGGGAAGACCCTCTATGAGGTGGATTGATTCAGTGACTGGGGTAATCAGAATGGGTGTGTCATAGGCAATGCGATTGGCACAGGACAGAGCCAATCTGTGCATAGGGTCGCTATGAGTCGCAAACGACTTGACGGCACATAACAACAACAACAACAACAATAATTTCTATCTGCCTTTATATGGAGAGAAAAAGAATTGGTGGTAATTCTTCTTTAGAAATAGAATGGGGACTATAGTATGAAAGCAGTTGTAGCATTGTGATTCCTTAAACTCCAAGGGACTTGTATTCCCATGTGAATGGAGAACTCTGGAGCCCACTGCAGGATTCCAGGGGACATGAGCACCTGTTGAGGCTGACACTGACACCCTCTGCCTGTTCTCCCAAGGAAGGCTGCATTTCAGGGTTTCCCAGTACCACCCAGGGTCCCAGGTGGCCTCCCGATGGGACCTGTTGCTCTCTCTTCTCAGAACAGTCCTTCCTGTTCTCTCACCCTCTTTCCTGTACTATGAGCTACCAGAAGTTTCTTACCAGCTCTCTCTGTTGGACCAAGATCCTCATCTTTATGGAAGTGGCCAGTAGATCACGTTGAGTGTTACTCAGTGCTGTAGGTGGGAGACAAGTGGGGAAAAGTCAATAAATAGCCCAGCTTTCCCCCTCCCCATGCTTAGCTAATAGAACACGAGTCTTGGCAGAAGCAGCAATAAAGGATTGCAGAAGAGAACAGGGTTCAAGGACATCTTTCTCCTGCAGAATGACAGTTGGCTTCAAAAGCTGACAATTAGCAACCAACCCCTTCTTATATATAACTCTCAGGGCGGAGGGCAGCCGTGAGAGGTCTTCTTTCTGCTCTTGCCAATCTCCAGGATGTTAAATGCTGTGGTCTAGACACAGCTGCAAAGCTGAAGGCTGAAATCATTTACATCGGATGATGTGCTCAATGGACAGATAGCCCAATCACTTTGTAGCTCTCAAGTTCATCTGTGTCACATTGCTAGTTTGTCACACTGAGCCTTCCTGATCTTGGTGATGTGGGTGATGGGAGACAAAGGATCATGGTATTTGAAAGGCTTCCAAGAAGCAGCCTCTAATGCATCCTTTTCCAAGGACCTGACGAACAAGCTAGCCTCCTGATCCCTCATTTCCCACCCTAGATCACTTTTACCCATTAGGACGTCAAGAACGCAAATGATGTGGTACTCGGAGGGTGTTGATAAGTCTCTTGCATGCTTTCGCAGTTCATTTAAGATAATGCTACCGGGACCATCCAAGTCAGCCGAGGGGTTTTCCAGCTATAAGAGATAGGTATTAGTGGTAACAGTAAAATGAATACAATTCTTATATAATTTTACCTTTTGTGTCTGTAGCAGGTGAGCCAATGTGTGGAAGCCTTTGAGGTCTCTGCTCTCTGGCCCTGGTTCTTGGGTCTAGACCAGAGCTGCTGATTTCGAAACTCTGTGTTCATTTACGGGCTGTCTTCCCATTCCTCCCTCCCCTTCCCCGAAGCTTGGCATTCACCTTGGTCTGCCCCCTTATACCATTTCCAAGCTCTGGTCCACCATAGAATTGACTTCCTCACCATGTCTATCAGGTTCTGCAAAGCTCCTCTGTCCCCAAGCATTGCTAGAATATTCTGGAATAAGGTATCCTGTAGATTCTTTGGGTATGTGGCCAAGGCTTCCATTTCATTAGAAATCTTCTCTTGTAGATACTGGAAATCTGCCATCAGGCATGAACACCAACCAGAAAAAGGGACAAACATCATTAGGATGGTAGACCCATACCCATAGAGATAAGCTGGGCTTCTATCTACCAGCCTTTGACAGAAACTTGTCTGTGAATGCCAAGCTTGCACTCTCTGGTAGAGATGCAATGCAAGAGTGGAAAGAGGGATAATTTAGCTTATCTGCATGAGGGAGTAGAATATGGTTAGCTAAGCTGGATATTTTGAAAAGGGAACATTGGAATTGGTGGGGAAATCCAAGTACTCTTTTATGGAAAATAGAAAAAGTAGCAGATTTTTGACTCGAACTCTAGGGTGACATTTTTAGGTCCTCTGGGTTCAGTTTTCATATCTGTTTTAGGAAATGTCCCATAGTGTGAGAACTCCATGTGATCACATATGTAATATGTTTGGGATAGTGCCTGATATAACACAAGCTATGACTATCATCACATAATTGTTATAATAATATAATAATTGTCATAAATGTCTTTGTGAGGATGGAAACCATGGCAATGGAAGTTAGTGATGGCCACACAACAGAAGTGATAGGATTGTTTTCATTGAATTATACAACTGAACATTTTTGACTATTGTATCACTTGTGTTTTAAAATAATAATACATTTGTTGGTGGCTAGATGCTGGGGGTTCTTCTCCCAGAAGATTTCAAGTGACCACAGGTGATCTGCTGAAAGACCACCACTAGATCTCACTAGAGTGGTACTCTCAAAGATTGGGGTCTTTGAGTTGGTTTTGTTCTTTGTTCCTAGCACCATGAAATAGTGTGTCTTGTGAAATGTCTCAATATGAGCTTGCCGCATGCATGCGATAAGGAATGAATAGGTGTAGAAGAGACAAATTTGGAAGTAGAACTCTACTTGGTGAGGTTCATGGAAACTTCCAATCGGAACACCAGCATTGTAGCTTCCTACAGAGGCAGCCCCAATGCCGGCTTCATAAGTACTCACCTTGAGAAAAGGCTTCCTCTGTGAATCCTAGAAAAAGCATAGCAGGTGATTTTTCTCCATTCTTTGTCCTCCCAAGTTTACCTTTGGTGTGTTCTGCCTTCCCATAACCTCTATTTTGTTTAATTTCTTTCTGCTCCCACCCATCTCACTAAACTGTCCTAGATTCTGTTCATTGCACTCCATCTCTTCCCTTTCCTCCCTCCCCTCCAGCTCTTTAGCCTTCTTGGCCCCTTTTAGTTCACAGGAAGCCAGATGGAAGGCCACAGGGCAGAGGTGGCACAAGCAGGGGACACGGTCCACACTTTGCCTTGAGCAATAAGACATTAACTCACTGGGTGAGTGTCTTCTGTGTAGGATAGAAAGAGAAGTTCAGTTCCCTTCTGCTCAAGAACTAATCTCAGAAGATACTCTGTGTTACCATTCGTCCAGCTTCTATTTATCCTGACCCTCTTCTGTCTATTGTCCCCACCATTTACAGAGGAGTCCAGAGCCCAAGACCTTACTTATTAGTAGCAAACACAATCACGTGGGATTTTGGTTGTGATGTGCTATGCAAAGTGGTGTGATAGAGAGAGCAGATCCCGTTTTCTTGGGTCCCCAAAACACCACTTACCTGACCTAAAGTAAATGTCCGTATCTGGAAAGAGAGGCACAGGTGCTCATTTATCTTGTGAACGTTACTCCCCCCACTCCCCATCTCCCTTTACCACTCTTTTCTGTCCTCCTTGCATACTTGATGCCTCGTTACCCCTCCTTTTCTTGCCTCTCACCTCCAATCCTCGAAGTGATTTCTGCAAATGCAAAACAGAGAATCTAGGTATCTCTGATAGAGATGAGGCCCCAGGTAGTCTTTCCACCTGGTTCCCAAGGTTGTAGGGAGAACGTTTGTTTTCCATGCGGCTGTAGGGTTTGTGGCTGGGCTAAAGGAAGGGACCTTAAAGGTGGCTGAGGAACCTGGCTGGGAAGGATTCTGGGTAAAGCTGTTGGGACAGCTCCCAAAGTGGAACATTGTGAACGGGTCAGGGTTCAGTTGGGTCTTAAGTCTCACCAGAGAATCTGCCAGTGCTGAAACTCACCATCTTGAAAAGTTTTCTGTTTACCCTCATCATCTGAGCTGTGAAGAATGTCTGGATAGAGACGAACAGATGAGGAATGGAAGGTTAGTCCTAGGGGAGCCTTTAAAAGTCTTGTGTTTTTAGCCTCCAGGAGCTTTCTCCTCCATGTCAGTGTGTAGTGACTTTCTCAGTATATCCTGGGGACCCTCAGTGGGAGGTACCACTGCATTACTTAAACTCCCCTTCCTTGTCTTCTTCACTCCATCTTTTGAATCACACTCTTGGGGAGGACCTAAGAACCTGTGTAGGACTCTATTCCTGTTGCCCTTTAATTTATGCCCTGCCTTACCTGTGCCCAATCCTGCCATATTCTTGGGTGATTAAAATAGCATGTAGAAAGATTTTTGTCTGACATTACCACAATTTAAATGTTTGACAAAAAGAAGAGTCAGTGAAAGAAACGGAAAAGGAGACCTCCTGGAGTATGGAGTCCTGATACTCAGGGAGATGGGGGCTCCCCGGGGACTAGTAGGTATGTGTTCATTGGTGACTTATTCTGAATACATTCCCTGGAGGACAGACTACATACAGTAGGTTGAGACATGGATGCAGGTGAGGAATTGAGGACCTAGAGACTAGATGTTGTTATTGTTAAGCCTGTCAAGTTGAGTACGACTCATAATGAGTGACCCTATGAACAACAAACCTGAACCCTGTTGTAAACTGTACCATCCTCATAATCTCTGACACACCCGAGTCCATTTCTGTAGTCATGGTTTTGATCTATCTCATTGGAGGTCTGTCTGTCTTTCATTAGCCCTCCACCTTTCCAAGAAGCAGCCTATCCTAGAAACATGTCCAGAGCTTGAGAGACAAAACTTTACCATCTCTGTCTCCAAGGGCACTCTGACTGCATTTTTTCAGACACATCTGTTTGTTCTTTTGACAGTGCACGGGATATTCTGCACTCTTCTACAGCACCACAACTCACAGACATCAATCCTTCTGTTATCCATATTCATCATCAATTCTCTGATGATAACAAGTTATTGAAAAGGCTATGATCTGAATCAGGCACACCTTAGTCTTCAAACTGACATCGATGCTCTTAAGTTATTTTGGAGAGGTCACCAGCTGTGGATTTGCCCAATGCAATACATCTGATCTCTTCACTGCTGGTACCAAGGTGTTTATTGTTGATCTGAGCATGACAAAATAATTGAGCTTTTTGGTTGCATTTCTGAGTTGCAAGCAGATCTGTTCATTCTTTTGTGGCTGTTGTTAGATGCCATCAAGTTGACTCCGACTCCTAGCAACTCTATGAACAGCAAATCTGAGCCCTACTCTGCACTATCCTTGCCATCTCTGCTGTGCTCAGCCTGTCTTTCAGTCCCTACGTCATCTGTGTTGGTGGAGGTATTGCTTTCTTGATCTGAGCCTCCACCTCTCACAACATGATGTACTTTTCTGAGGACTGGCTTCTCTTCCACTGCATGCTGAAAGTATGTGAGATGTTAGGTGAAGTCTCAGCCTCCTTCCCTCTAAGGAGCACACTGTTGGTACATCTCCCTAGACAGATTTGTTTGTTCTTTTCAGTGGAATATCCAGTTGTCAAGTGCTGTCAAGTTGTCTGTGACTCAGAGCGACCTTATTCACAACAGCTCTGAACTCTGCTTTATGTTGAACTAATCTCATTGTCTCCAACACACCTACCCCTATTACCCCAGTAACTGTATCTATCCCTCTCATCAAAGGTCTTCCTTTCCGGAATTGTTCTTCCACCCTTCCAAGCATGATTTCTTTCTCTAAGTACTGGCCCCTCTGGCAAAAAGTTCAAAGAATGTGAAACAAAGATTCACACTCCTTGCCTCCAAAGGGCAGCTTGGATTCCCCTCTCCATGACAGACCTGTTTGTTTTCTTGGTGGTCCATGGTATGTTCAATATTCTTCTCCAACACCACAACTCAAAGGCATCTGTTCTTCTTCTATCATCTTTAGTCATTGTCCAGCTCTCATATGCATAGCAAGTAATTGTGAAGACTATGGCTTAGATCAGGCACACCTTAGTCTCTAGGCTGACATCGTAGCTCTTTAGTATTCTGGAGAGGTCCCTGACCTGCCGATTTTCCCATTGTAATTCATCTTTTGATTTCCTGACTGTTGGTGCCAAGAGTGTTATTATGGAACCAAGCACCAACCACAAGTCAAAGCCATTGATTCTTCATCTGTTATCCTTATTCATTGTCCAGCTCTCAGATGCAGAGCAAGTGATTGGAAAGACCATGATTTGAATCATGTGCACCTTTAATCTGACATCATTATTCTTCAGGACTTTGGAGAAGTCCTTTACAGCAGTTACAGAAATTAAAGACTCTTAGAACAAATCCTGTTCTAGTGAGAAACCATTTTTTTAGGTGTTTAGGGACTGGCCCATTTCTACCCATTCTCTCTGAAGAGAGAATGTCTGTTGGAGGATTGGGCATTTTGATATGAGGAAGGGAGGAAGAGATGGAGACAAAAGTCTGCATTTAGTTGTTTGGGAATGTTGCAGCTTTGTGATTGTGCTGACCAGTACCTTACAGGGCTGTCGAGTAGGGTTATTGGTGATCAGAGGAGGCTCATGTGGCTCCCTGAGGACAGCTGCTGAGAGCGATGACCTTGAATCTGTCGTGATGGTTGGGACCTTGCTCATGGCGAAGGATACTCCAAATTTGACACTCCTCTCTTTCCATCTAAGCAAGTTGCTTCTCTCCCCTGTCCCCCCCCCACCCCCCAATAAGTAACTCGTTGGCTAAGACGTACCTTGAAGGTGATTTGGTTGGGTGGTGAGTTACGTGTATGCCCTGGCACATCTTACCCCTTCAGCAGGAAAATAGCAGATCACACATTGATCTTTCTCTTCTTACTTATCTTCTCATGAAATAGACTCCCTCTCCCCACCCACTGCCTCCTGCCTCTGCTCACCCCAGCCTTTCGCCGAGAGAACCAGCTGCTTCCTCCTATAGGCCATCACTGTGCCCTTTGGTAGGGTCAGCTTCGTGCTGGTGAACTTGAGACACTTTGCCGTGGCATTACCCTGTAGAGATAAACCAGGCTCAGAAGTTTGTAGCTCTCTGCCTCATGGCACCATTTAAAAAGTGGTTTATTTCTAATCAAAGTAATGTGATTCTCTCTCTCTCTATATATCTATATATCTATATCTATATCTATATCTATATCTATATCTATATCTATATCTATATCTATATCTCAACAACAACATAGAGAGAGTTCAGTTGGCCTAGTGGACAGAAAGTGATGCTACCAAGCCAAAGGTGGGTGACTTTAATCTGAGGCCCCTAGGCCTGGTTTTGTTTTTGGTCAAACCTTCTTCTAAGTGGCATAGCACTGGTCTATCCATTTGCTATACAGAGGTAACTCATGGTTGCTGTGAAGCTGAATACTGTGACACTGATGTGTCAAACGCAATAATGGTTACCCATGGTGGACAGTGTTTGGTGGAGCTCCTCTAATAAAACAAGCTTGGAAGGAGAGGCATCCACTTCCAAAATTGCTTGTCTCCAGAAACCCTATGAACCTGGAGAAAGGATGAAAGTTATACAAATGTTCCGGTCTTTCATTCTTAGGGTCTCTGAGTCACCTATGACTCGACAGCACTTAACAACAACAACACATAAAAATATATATCTTGGAAACTTTATGGATGAATTCTACTCTGTCTATAAAATTCAGTGTGATCATTTGGAAACTCCATAGCTGACCCTTCACTGGGTTTCCAAGACTGTGAATTACAGGGAGGAGATGATCTTTCTCACTCAAAGCAGCTGGTGTTTTTAAACCGTAAATGAGGTGAGGTTTTGGGTTAGCACAACACCCTGTGCACTAGCAGGGCTCCTCCTGGCCCCTAGACTTGCTGTCAGTCACAATTGGTTAGATGGTAGCAGGTTTGCTTTTTAGTTTTTATTCCTTCTTGAGTATTAATGACTATTCTCAGTGGCCTAACCAGGGAGCTCAGGTAGCCTAGTAGTAAGGAGTTGCGCTGGGACCCCAACGGTATGCAGTTTGAATCCCCTGGCTGCTCTGTGGCAGAAGGATGAGCACTCTCCTCCTGAGTAAGTAATTGCCTCTAAAAACCCACTGGAGGGTTGGCTATGGGTTGGTTCTGACTTGACAGTACCCAACAACAACAACAACAACAATCTGGACCACAACACTAAACCCACTGCTGTGGATCAATTAGGGCTTATAGTGACCTTCCACGGGGTTCCTGAAGCTAAAATATTTTTGAGAAAAGACTTTCCAACTTTCTTTGCCCCACCCCAACTTTCTTGTATTGGAACAGTTTGGAGATTTGAACTGATGACCATTAGGTTAGCAGTGTAACACATGACACACTACACCATCAGAGCTCCATTAGGGACCTAGACTGTCAATATGTACTTGTAAATTATTATCTAGGGATTACTGTTTTAACTTTATGAGAGATGGAGTGTTATCTCAGAGACCAGAAGCGTGTCTTCTGGCAACCTATTAAAACTGCCTTCATCATCAGATTCACCAGGATGCCATTATCTATAATTAATATTAAATATCCAGAGTAGATGTTAGATTGATGCAAGTAGTAGAATATACTTTCCAGTCAGTAGACTGGTTTCCTTGGTAGATAAGGTTATATCGACAGATGAGAAATGAGGACTAGTGATTCTCTCCAACCCAATTTTCAGACGGAATTCTTCTCAGTATCCAGTTTCCAGGAAGTGAGAAGGTGGGCTGAGAATGCTCTCTGTGCTTCCATCCCACCGCAGGACAGATCTGTACCTTAGCAAATGGATTCCAAGTGAATGAGAGCTTTCCCTGTCCACGCACATGTCGTATTTCATGCAGAGTGGTTTTCTTGGTCAGTATCAGGATCTCTGTCACCACATACAAGTTTTCTCTTCTTTTGCGACACTGTGTCAGAAAACTGGGCTCTTTTTCCAGTGTTTTTCTAAGGATGTAAGGAGAGAAGAATAGACTCAAATATAGGCAATCTCCTCATGTGTGACTAACTGCCTCTGAAAACCTGCTGGAGGGTCAGCTGTGGGTTGGTTCTGACTCTATGGTCCACAACACCCTCCCCTCCTCCCCCGCCTCCGCCACACACACACACCAGAAAGATGCACCTTCTTTACTATATGAAGAAGAACGCAGGAGGAAGATTCATTAACAACCTGCATCATGCAGATGACACAACCTTGTTTGCTAAAATTGAAGAGAACTTGAAACTCTTGTTGTTGTTGTTATGTGCCGTCGAGTCGCTTGTGACTCATAGCAACCCTATATATGACAACCCAAAACTCTGCTCTGTCCTCTACCAATTGCACTGTCTCCGACACTCCCATCCCGATTACCCAGTCACTTCATCAGTCTACCTCATAGACGGCCTTCCCCTCCTGCACTGTCCCTCCTCCCTCCCAAGCATGACGTCCTTCTCCAAGGATGGGTCTCTCTTTACAACATGTCCAAAGTATGTTAGACGGAGCCTCAGAATCCTTGCCTCCAAGGAAACTCTTGTAGAAGTTTAAAAAACTAACAATCAGTAGAGATTGTATCTCAGTATCAAGAAAACAGAAATCCTCATCACTTGACCAATAAGCAAATACCATGATAAATAGAGAAAAGATTGACGTTGTCCAGCACTTCGTTCTATGTGGGTCCACAATCAATACCCAACATATTATTATTGTTCTGAGCTGTGGAGTCAGAACTGACCCATAGCTGACCCTCCAGTGGGTTTTCAGAGGCAGTTAATCTCATGGGAGGAGATTGCCCATCTTTCTTCCATGGAGCAGCTGGTGTATTTGAACTGTGTGCCTTTGGGATTACAGAGCAGCCTCTTACCATTAGGCCGCCAAAGTACTAGCAGGTATGCAATCAAAAGATGTCCTACTTTGGGAAAATCTGCTGTCAGGAAACTCTCTAAAGTTCTAAAGAGCAAGGAAGTCAATGTGAAGATTACAGTGAGCTGGATCCTACCCAAGTTACTTCCTATGTATGTGAAAGCTGGACAATGAATAAGGATGACGGAAGAAGCCACTGAGGTGTGCTTTTGGAGAAGGGTACTAAATATACCGTGGACTGCTAAAAGAACAAACAATTTGTCTTGGAGGATGTGCACACAGGGTACTCCTTAGAGGCGAGGATGGTGAAACTTTGTCTCACATACTTGGGGTGTGTTGTAAGGTGGGACTAGTCCTTGGAAAAAGACATCATGCTGGCAAAGTTGGAAGGTCAAAGAAAGAGAAAACCCTTAGTAGGATAGATTGACAGAGTGACTGTAAAATTGGGCTCAAGCATATCACAGATTGTGCAGATGGCTAAGCTTAGGGGAAGGTTCAGATCTGTTGTTTGCAGGGTCTCTGTGAGTCACAGCCAACTCAGTGGCAGAATCTAAAAAAAACAAAACCCATTTCCCCCCTCCACTTCTCCCTATTAAAGATCAACTGCTTTAAGATTTTGTTTTGTACCTGTGTTCAGTACAGAACATTGCAATGATTGATATTTACTGTAATAATAAACATATATTAGATAATTAGTGAATATTTGCTGAATAAGTAAGCGGCCGAAAGGGCCCCCAGATGGGAGGCATGCACTGTGCTGTCGTCATCTCTAATCCTAACTTAAGCTGCACCACCCGCTAGAGGTTTCCGAGGAGAGCATCTCCTGGGATTTGGGGCTCCTGGTCCCATCCTTTCTGTGTACTCACCTTTCCTGAAGGTCTTTCCAGACTTGGGGTGGAATTCTAACAAACTGGATGTTCAACGAGGATTGTTGCAATTTAGAAGCGTCTACTGACATGCTCGCGTCGAGCCCGAAGTTCACATCCACATCCATCCCATACCTCCCCTTCAGCAGAGTCAAAATGTTTAACTCGATTTTCTTTGTTGAGTCAATTTCTGGGAAGAGAAAAGTTGACCTTTGGTTTAGCCACAGATGCCTCTGACACAGTGAGGGTGGGAGATAGAACAACGGAAGCTGTGTAGGCCCATTGGTCTCTTATTGATGTAAATGGCTAATGTGGTTGGTTGACAGAACATAGATGGAAGGATTGAATCCTCTCATGAGAAGGGAATGGTGACCTACGTCTACGCGGTTGAGGACCTCACAGAGCACAGTTCTACTCAAGACTCAGGGAACCACTGTGAGTCAGATGGGCCTCTACAGCAACTAGTCACTCAGAATTTTGTAGCAACTTTCCTTCCCGTTTAAACAACCTTACTCGTGAGACAAGTTAATCAACTGCTATTTAATGTCAAGAAGACAAAGGTCAATTAAAGGGGATAATATTTCACTCTAACAAATCACAATTTAAAAAGGAGACTCTACTCCCATGCTGGGAGGGGGGGAAAAAAGAAGACTCTAGGCTATCCATCTTTGCTGACACAGTAGGTACGGCATTTGGCAATACAATGAGGCTGACTGGACTAGAAAATGCCTAGAGGAGACAGGCATAGCATTCTACCCTAGTTCTACCATTTCCTAGGTATACAACATGAAACAAGTTATAGTATTTCCTTCAATTTTGTTCTATGTTAAATTAGGATAATATCACTACTTCAATAGGTTGGTGTAAGTATTATGTTAACTAATGACACTTAGCCCACATACTTATTACATCTTCAGATGATCTCAGTTCCTTCCCTCACTTTTAGGGAAGACACGCTCTGAACTCTGCCTGCCTAGGTCTTTCCGAGGTTCCAGGTTGGCACTCTGCCTTTATCTGCCGTGTGTGCCTTGTATGTCTCTTTGTTACCAGCTGGCAATACCTGGAATGGCAGAACTTGGCTCCAGGATGTCCATGAGAGAGAAATGAGTTAGAATGTCTTGTTCTTTTGGAAACAAGTCATAAAATTTACTCTTTTTCTTCTTTATCAAATTGAAGTGTTGCATTTTGGAGGCATTATCCATGCTCATGATAGGTTTCAGATTTTCTGTGTTCATCTCTTTGAGCAACATATTGACGTAAGTTTCAAAGATGGACGCCATGTTCCTAGGAGTGAACAGGAGGGGAGTGGGTTCAGTTAGGAAGTAGAAGAAAGCAGAGCATCCCTTACAGATACTTGATCCTTTCCTTTGAGGGAGGGAACCTTTCTTAATATGGAGTTGATGATTCTAAGCTTAGAAGACTGACTGCATTATAACTCTCTCAATTTTGTTATTCTGTGAAATGTATTGGTCTTAATAGCTGGAGAAAGAAAGTTTGAGTCCCCACACATCAAACGTAGAAAGAAATATATAATTGTTCATGACTAATAGATAAAATTTATTGAAGGGAACTGGGGTAGCCTAGTGGTAAGGAGCCATGTTACCAAACCAAAGGCAGGCAGTTAGAATCTACCATCCATCTGTTCTTTGGGAGAAATGTGGGAAATCTCCTTCCGTGCAATTCACAACCTTTGAAAATCCACTTGAGGGTCAGCCATGAGTTGGTTCTGTCATGATGGAACCTAACAACAATAAGCACAACCACCACACGCCAAATGAATGCCATCCTGGAAAAAATTCTAGTGATTAATGTATGGTGTGAGTGCTTAAAGTAGTTTAAGAATAAGCTTGGGTCCTTTGCTTTTATAGAAGAGATTATATGGATTATAATATGCTAGACAGAGAAAGTTGGCATAATACTTTGAACAGTTGATGGAGAACTTTATGCCTTTACATATATGATTTTTTTATAGCTATAGATGATTTGGGTTGTTGATTTGGGTGGCCTATGTGTATCAGGGTTGTATCATTTCTCTACCCTATTCAGTTCATATGTTAAGTAAATCACTTGAGAAGCTGGACTATATGAAGAAAAATGTGACATCAAGATCAGAGAAAGAGTCATCAATAACCTGTATTATGCCAACGACGCAACCTTGCTTGCTGAAATTGAGGAGGACTTAAAACATTTGCTTCAGAATATCAGAGTACAGCCTTCAATATTGATTACATCTCAACATCAAGAAAATAAAAATCGTCACCATTGGGTAATATCATGATAGGTAGAGAAGAGACTGAAACTGTCAATGATTTAGTCTTATTTGGATCCACAATAAATAATCTTGCTACCAGCAGTCAAGAAATAAAAAGACTTGTTATTTTGGGAAAATCTGTCTGGGACCTCTCCAATGTCCAAAAGAGGAAGAACAACATTGTAAAGAATAAAGTACACCCAAGAATCATTGGCAACCTACATTATGCAGATGAAACAACCCTGCTTGCTGAAACTGAGGAGGACCTGAAGCACTTACTGCAGAAGGTCAAGGATTGTAGTCTTCAATATAGATTGAAGCTCACCATCAAGAAGACAAAGATTCTCACCACTGGCAGCACCATGAAGGATGGAGATGAGATTGAGGTCGCTAACAGTTATAGCTTGCTCAGCTCCACAATCAATACTCTTGGCACCAGCGGTCAGGAAATTAAAAGACAAATTGCATTAGGTAAATCCACTGTCAGACGTTTCCAGAGTCCTGAGAAGCAATGTTGTCAGCCTAGAAAGTGAGGTGTGCCTAATCTAGTCTATGGTCTTTGCAGTTACTTGCTATGCATCAGAGATCTGGATCATGGCTAAGGACGATATCAGAAGAATTAATGCCTTTGAATTGTGATATTGGAGAAGAGTCTTGAACAAACCATGGACCACCAAGAAAACAAAGAGGTCTGTCTTGGAGAGAGTGAAACCAAGTTTCTCCTTGGAGGTTAGGATTTTGAAACTTTATTTCCTTGGAGAGGAACATCATGCTTGGAAAGGTGGAGAGACAGCACAGGAGAGGAAGTCTCCAAATGAGATGGATTGATATAGTGACTGGGACAATGGGGGTAAGTGAGACTGGCTCAGTCAGTGAGACTGGCTCAGGACAGGGTAGGCTTCAGAGCCATTGTACATAGGGATGCTGTGAGTCACAGGCACCTTGACAGCACGTAACAACTATATGCATCTGAAAGTCAGACAATGAGTAAAGATGACAGAAGAATCATTGGCTTTGGAGTGTGGTGTTGGAGAAGAGTATTGAATATCCCATGAATTACGTAAAGCACAAACAAGTCTGTCTTGGAGTAAGTGCAAACAAGGTGCTCTTTAGAGGCAAAGAAAATGAAAATTCTCATATACCTTGGACATGATGTCAGGAGGGGCAGTCCTTGGAAAGTTATAGTGTTGGATGGGGTGGAGGGTAAGAGAAAGAGAGGAATCCTTCAACAAAATGGAGTGACATCGTGACTGTAACAATGGGTCTGAGCATATCAGAGATTGTGAGAACAGCACAGAATAAGACAAAGGTCAGATCTATTGTTCATAAGGTTACTATGGGTTATTGTAGACCTGATGGCACATAACAAAAACATGGTGTTAGAGAGGATTCCTAATATCTTCTGACTTCTAGATCAGGTGGGTACCTTAGTGATTTACCTTTTAGAAACCCTTTGCTCACCGTAGAAATTGTTATAATCCTAATACTCGACTAATACTGAGGCGCACCTCAGACAACAGAAGCTATTACAGGGAACAATTTAATAGATGAAGCAGCTGAACAATCTCTCCCCAAGATCCTTCTAACCTCTGAAACAGCTAAAGAAATTATTCTGCATTTTCACAATCACTCAGACTATAATAAAAAGCAGGTAGGTAAGAATGTTCTTGATGACATAGATGTTTTGCCCCCATCAGAAGCTCAGAGAATATCTGAAGATCACAGATCCTTTTTGATTGCAGGTACTGAAGATTAGAAGCAATCAGTCTGAGCTTTAATGCCACAACGAGGCTCTAGATGGGACCCCGTGATAGAACCCTTCATTCCCAGATCTCAGTATGTTGCTATGGCCATGATTCTGCAACTGAATTGCAAGAAGGGGATGAGGTAATATAATTAAAAACTTAAAAATTGGTGGGGTAAGTTTGTTAAAACTTCTGAACAAATCACCAGCCATTGCTGGTTTTGTTCTATTACAAGCATAGGAAGTATCTGCAGGAAAAGAAATCTTTGTCTTCAAGATTGTGCTTGAATGACCATTATATTTTGTTTGGCTCCCACCACCAAATGGATATAAATACAGTTTAGTAATGGAATATATATTCTTCCATTGGATGTATTAATTTCCACATAAATTTGCTATTTGGTGGCCAAGAAATTATCAGAGACCACCATAGTAGAGCAAACTGGGGCAAGATTATGGAAACTTATTGATCATAAACACCTTGAGCAAACAAGTTGCTGAGCCTGGTAGCTCAGAACTACAGCCTCAGGGGACATCAAGGTTAACTGGCATAATCTTGACTACAAAGGCACTGTTCATCAGTCTACTTTGGTAAGTAAGTGTCTGACCATCAAGATGGAATGATTGTTCTCTCTCCTTTTGGAGCATAAAAAGAATAAAAACAGGGCTCTGGTGGCCTAGTAGCAAGAAGCTGTGCTGCAATCCCAAAGGCACACAGTTCAAGGCCACCAGCTGCTCCGTGGGAGAGGGGTGGACAATCTCCTCCTATGCGATTAATTGCTCTGAAAACCTGCTGGACAGTCAACAATGGATCGATTCTGACTCTATGGAACACAATAACAAGAACAAGAACAACAACATTAGTTCAAAGGACTGAAGGACTGAGTGAACTTCACTGTCCATAAATAACTTTGAGACCAATAGATGGTATCGGGCTACCACTGCTGAGTACTAGAAGGAAGTTCACAATAGAAAGTCACTCATAGAAAGGGAGAAAAATGTGGAACACATTTAAAAATTATGAAAAAGACCAGGCATGCTCATCTAATAGAGACTGGTTGAGCCCCTCTGACTACAGCCCTTAGGCATCCTTCAGTCCTGGAATGGAAATCACCCTCTGACTTTGACTTCCAGCCAAACAATAGACAGGCCTCTAAGTTGATCAATGACACCAGACCAAATGCAGGGCTCACAGTGATCAGTTGTACAAGGTCAAAAGGGCAATGAATGCCTCAAGGAAACTTAGGAGTTAGGAAAACAGGAAAGTTAATGAGAAAATTTGGCTTCTAGAGCTGCCACAAGTAAGTAGAAAGTGTTAAATGCCCTTCCTTGGGTCAATACCCTTTATTTGTGTAACAGTAACCTGTGAAGGCTGAATTGGTCGGAAAGCTTTGTGGCTATTTGTTACTGTTTCTCCTTCCTAGACTGACAACTGGCTTGAGGTGGCAGTCATGTTTTCTGCTTTGGATTCTGTACCTGGCATGTGAAGGAACTAGGGCACACTTCATACACATCATATTACTTAATAATGTAGATGGCTCAGTGCCTGGCAATCTCTCCAAGTTTAAATATGCTTTTGTTAGGCCTGAGATAAAGGGTTAGGATCCTATCCGGGTCTTTTCTGGACATGGTGTTGTTTTAGTGGCAAAGAGCTATTTTGCCAACTCAAAGGCCAGTGGTTCAAATCCACCAACTGTTCTTGAGAGAAAGGTGAGTCATCTCCTCCTGTGCAATTTGTGTCCCTGGAAAATCTGCTGGGTGGTGAGCTATGAGTGATTTCTGACTTGAGAAGAGTCAGAGTGAATGGGTGAGTTTCTGGGCCTGTATCTTGTTGTGAGCATGAGTGTGGCTTTCTAAACTGCCTGGTACAAATAGGTGCTTTGAAATGTCTCAATTTTCAATGAAACCCTACTTCTGGTAATATTAATCCTAATATTTCTATTGTTTGCTTCAACCACTCTCTTATCCCATTGGACTTTCAAGTCACTTACTGCTGTCCCATCTGCTTTGGCTCTGAAAGAAACAAAACAGTGCTTCAGCACTGAATCTGAATTAATCTGTAAAGTCTTCAGGTAGTCTTCCCCCCTATGATTTTCTTTTTTCTCTCTCTTTTTTTTTCGTTTTCATTTCATAGTTGTGGGGCCTTTTTTCTTTTTAAAAGCCTTCTAGCATCTGAGAAAACCTGTCATAGGAAAATGGCTAAATAAACAGAGGGTTCAGTGAACACACATGTAAAATTATTTGGTGTTTGCATAAAGAGTTTGGAAAGGTCAGTAAACCAAGAG